CTTCTTTTGTTATTTAAATATATATATTTAAAAAGTAAATAGATATATATGTGAAAAAATTAGAAAAATATATATTTATCGGTCTGGCCCGGTCCGGTCCAGTTCCCACTCTAGAACCGGGAACCGGACCGCCCGGAAACCGGTTCCATTTTTAGGAACCGGGAACCGGACCGATATTCCCAAGAACCGGACCAAACCGGTCAGTCCAGTCCGGATCCGGTTTGGGCAGTCCATCTTGCTCACCCCTAAGTTTTATGACTCAATTATATTTTCGTGACAAGTTTTAGGACAAAAATACACCTTTTGAAAGTTATAAAACTTAATTGTACTTTTGTAACAAGTTTTAAGAATTCTAAGACACTCATCCCTAAAACAAAGAAAAGATAAGAACAAAAAATAGATAGATGGTACCGGTAGGCCTCGACCTTCGTTTTGGCATACGCTATTGACCATAACATGAGAAAAGCGGAACCGATCCCGAGATGATAGGGAGGTCTAATGAATCCCACTCACCGGACTCCTGATCTGATATGCTTCGGGTTCATAACCAACCTTAGTATAGGCTAATAACATATTCAAATGATGAGAATTAAACTTAAGTCACTGAATCCAAACAAACTCGCTCCCATTTCCACCAAAAATTGGTGCACATCATGTAGTCTTTCATTTTAAAATTTTAAGGTGATACAATCGTATACCATTTTTCTAAAAAAATTACCTAATCACTTATAAGCCTATCATACGATTGCTAATTTAATTATAAACTTTTCAATTTTATCAATTTAATCCTAAACATTTTCGTGAAGTTCTAATGTAATTCTTTCCATTAATTTTCGCCAGAAAAGACTAAGGTGATAGTCCAGTCATTGATAGCCGTCTTATGTGACACGGCTCTCCATGGACAACAACAATGGTTGCCGACTGTCTTGGAGGCCCACCGGAGGTAGCATCGAAGCAGAAAGAAGGCTGAGTGGTGAGAAGGGTGTCACAGCTGTGATGCACGAATGGAGATGAAACCGAGCGAGGAAAAACTGTAGGTGACGAAGATAATGGTAATAGGGAAAATGGATGGGTCAATAGGAAGAAAGTTGTTTGGTAAAAAAGAAGAGAGAAAGTGGCCAGAATTTCCAAGTTGGCTTTTCTTTTCATCAAAAAGCCATGTAATTGTATAAAACTAATTAAAAATAGCCACGTTGGAATAAATATCTAATTAAAAAATCCATGTAGGACTTTTGGCCAGAATTTGTAGCCGGAGGCTCTTAAGTTACCGTCATTTCTCCGATTTGGCACTTGAGTGAACCAGCAAAAAGTTTTGGTAATAAAGTAAGTGCCATGCGAAAATTATAATACTTCTAGTGTCCTCCCAATGTTAGAGTTAGAAGATGGACAGTAAAAAGAAAAGAAAAGAAGAAAGAAAAGAGAAGTAAAACTCCGGAAGATAAAAAAAAGTGAAGCAATTAAGGGGGATTTGGGCATCACTATTGGTGGCTTCCCATGTTTTTTTTTTTTTTAATCTGGGAAACGAAACCGTTCGGCAGTAAAGAGGGTGCTTTTTCAAAAAAAAATGTAACAAAGCTATTTTCGTAAGGAAAATGGCGCCGTTTCTATTATTAATGGTCCACGTCAGACACCGATCGTGCCACATAGGACAGCTAGCGATAACTGGACCGTCATGTCAACATTTTCGATAGAAATTGGCCGGAAAGACTACATTAATATTATACAAAAAGATTTATGATTAAATTGATCAAATTAAAACGTTTTAAATTGAATTGATAGCCTTACAATAGGCTCAGGACTCACGTGTAATTTTCCCCTTTTTCTTAAGTCATACTTTATTTTTAAAAACCTTAGGCAATGGTAAAGCCCATTATCTTCTTTGATAAGAACTCTTTGTAGGTGTCCATGCATAAACCAATAATCTCCACAAGTATTCAATCATGTCATCAATCAAAATGGTGTATCAAAGGTGACAAAGCATGAACAATTTGAGAAAGTAATCGCCTACCTCCTCTTCTTAATTCAGTTCGGACTCAAACAATATCACATATGATAAGGTTCAATTAGTAATTTCACGCGGCCACATTGTTTGATGATGGCATAATGCATGACAATCTCACTAGATTTTTTTTTTGCCAAAAAAAATTTCCATTCATTACCAAAATGATACATGAAAGGATTTATAGAAAATCTCAAAAGTCACAATAACAAAGCAAGCCCAAAGAGCTCCAAAACAAATCGAAAATCAGAAATCAAGGCATATCCTCAAAGCATGAACGGCAGAGATAATCCCACGCTCGTCCTTCAAAAACATATCTGCGACTGCATCCAAGCAAAAGGATCAGCGACCGATCACCAAATCACACAGTATCATTAGTGATAAGCACACACCGAGATTTCCATATGTAGTTATGGCTTTGCCTTTTAGGGGGTGCGCCTAGGTTCGGTGTCCCCAACATCATCGCTGTACGAAGACAACATAAACATGTTGGTGACACTTATGTGAGTGAGCCCTTTAACCAGTGCGAGGCACCAAAGCTTTTAACTAAAACATGTTGAACGAGCATAAATTTGACATCGAAACTGCTATGAACAACAGTGAAATTTGAGGTGGAGTACTTATTCATTAAAACTCCAAAATCTAAAATTAGATCGGAGAGAAAAGCTCCCAAATATAAGATCAGGAGAGCAAAGTTCCCAAATCTAAAACTAGATCAAAAAAGTAAGGAAAGAAACAAAAGTAAATTAAAGGAAAAGCAACTAGGAGGCGAGGGACTAGAAGGGGAAGAGTCAAAGAAAGGTTCAGAGAAGGAGCGAGAGGGAAGGAGAGAGGGGGCTGGGAGAGGATAGGTAATCTCACTAGATTAATGTTATAAAAACGAAATTGATTCGAACTCTCTTTCTGATAATCATGATGATGAGAATTTTTTTTGTTCGAAATGATGATGCGAATTTAAATCACCCTGCACCTAACTCACTTCTCACTGCTGCTAGCTAGGAGCGCAAATCATGAGTAGATGAATTGAGAAGTAATTGTAGGTGAATTTAATTATAAAATGTTTGAGCAGGATGAACATTGTGAATTGTCTTGCTAAAAGTATGTAAGTGTTATGTACTTCGAAAGATGGAAAAGTATCCAAAAAGTCATAAACTTATTGAATTGGTACCAATTCAATCATAAACCTTTCAATTGGACTAATTTAATCCTAAACATTTTCACATTAGTACTAATTGAGTTCATTTGGCCAATTTAGATCGGAACTTCTTATGTAAACACCAGCCATCCTACATAGCATGACTGGTGTCGACGTTGACATTTTTTTTTATAATTTTTTGGAATTTTTTCTTTTTTTTCTTACATTTTCTTCCGTCGCTGGCACAAGCCATGGCCAATGAAGGTCACCCTTGCCACCACAAGAGAGGGCGAGTGTCGGCAAGGCCGCCTTCGCCTCGGTGGCACTCACTGGGCGTCACTTGCGGGAGGGTTGGCCTCACTAGCCCACGCGATGCCCAGCAAGGTCGCCTGGGCTTGGGTAAGGGTTGGCCACGCCAGATCTAGTGAGGGTGGCCTCGCTAGCGCTCACCCTCGTCAAGGGCGACCCTCGCTCAGGCAAGGCTAGCCCTTGCCGGCCATGGCCTTTCCATGAAAGAAAAAGAAAGAAAAAAATTCAATAAAATCAATCAACAATTATTAAAAAAAAATGTCCAAGTCAACGCCAGCCGTGCCACGTAGGAGTTAGGATGCTTGGCATTTGTGTGTTAAAATTGTGAAAAGAAAGTTTGTGTCAAAATTGTCTCTCGGTTGTTTGTGCTCTTTCTTCTTCTTTTTTTTTTGGCCAAAAATCCCAAAAATAAGGGAAATTTCAATAATCATCTTCACATTTCACATCTTTATCACTTTTAGGGCCTATTTGGTTCAACTTTGAAAATGCTACTTGGGGGAATGCAAATACCTTTGGGTGAAAGCCCATTGGGGAAATGCAAATGGTGTTTGGTAAAAATATTTTGTAAAGCTACTTTGGCCAAAATATAGTGTTTGGTGAATTTTTTTGCAAATGGACTTTGAGAATTATCTTATTCATTAAAAAAAAAAAAAAACCTACCCATCGCCGGAGCCGGCCGCTGCGATGGCCTACGGCCGCCGGCGAGATAGATCTGCACCGCGGCCGTCGCCCGAGGTCGGGCGACCCCTGCGGCGAATCTGCCGCAGCCGGCGAGTCGCCCGAGGCCGGCGACCCTCGGCGGGGTCGCGCGACCCAGCGGCGACGGCTGGGTCAAGCGACCCAGCGACGGCGTCGCACAGGCGGTCGCCCGACCCAAGCGACCTCGCCGGCCCTTCTCTCTCGCCGGCCGCCCTCGCCGGCCGCCTGGTGAAGAAGCGCTTCAAACCAAAAAAAAAGATACGTGAACAGTAGCATTCGTGGAATGCTAGCATTGGCCAAATGCTAGGCCAAATGCTGAACCAAACACCCCGTATTTTGGGAAGGGGCTTTCGAGGCTCAAAGCCCCTTCCCAAAGCCTCGAAAGCCCCTTCCCAAAGCTGAACCAAACACCCCGTTACACTTGTTTTGTTTTAAGATTATAATTTACGTCCTCGCTTTCGTAATATGGGTTAACAACAAAGTAGCAAATGGCCACTTTCTTTCCCAAACTATCCTCGACATTTTCATGTGCGCCACCCACCTAAAAATCGTAGACTTCAATATCCAAACTCTAGCCCATTCGTCGCCACCACCACTCTCCTCGACCCGCGCCCTTTCCGGCTGCTGAAGCTCCTCTCTTTCTCTCTATCTGTCTCACTCTCAAAGGCAAGGACCACCGCCGCGATTACACATCAGCAATTGCCGGGGCGTTTGTGACCTCATCTGCGACGACATTAGATCCGAGGTCGTGCAATTCCGAGGACGTCGCGAGGCCAAGATCTCGTATTGAGGTCGGGAAAGTCGTGCACGACTGTAAACTAACTTGGGCACAAGTAAGCTGAAGAGAACGTAGGCAAATTATAAACGGAGAACGCAAATGATCGCTTAAATTGCTTCCAACATGTAGTATCCTAGTTTTCACAAATCAATATTCCAAAGTGCAATTAATGTTGTCCGGCCCTTCTTCTTCTCCTTCTACTTCTCCTTTCAACCATTTTTCAACATCCCAAGTGTCTCTCCAATTTTCGCCAAACATCATCAGAAGATTCAACGATGCAAAATACATGTTTTGTCTCCATTTCTCCAGTGGCGGTAGTCCCAACTCTCCAGCAAGCCAATTCTCATAATCAAACTGCCAAAAACCGAAAAAACAACGTAGGATGATGATCATACACTTTTAGAAGGACAATGTTCGATAATGAAAATGGCAGACTCAATTAGCATGTAAATAAGGTTTCGGGGTCTAATTAGCAAGATAAGTTACGGTAATCGAAGAAACCAATGCCGCGATTCTATACTTTAAAATGTCCAATTCATGAAGATCTTTCAATTTTCACATTGTTCAATTTCGAAATGAAATTGGGTTTGATTTACTCAAATGAGCAGTGCAATTGGATTGGTATGTACCTTTTCCAATTGGAGCCTGTGAGTATGGCGCTTGGGCCATCCGACCGCCTCGATCCGCTGGTAATATTCTTGAGCCTGTGAGGTCATCTCTTCTTTACTTGGCAAAAGTATTTTCCCAGATAATATTTTTGCTACCCACCTTGATTGTAACTCGCTAAGGAGAAATGCAATAGTCTGTTCGCATTTTCAAAATAGATAAAAGTCGCAAAGGCTAAACCATGTCAATAAAACAACCCAGAAAAAAAATTTGCGAAAATATTATTTATCGAGTTAATATATTGTTGGAATTATAAACATATAATGTTTCCCCAGAAAATTTTTTACATGAGCTAAATTGTGTACCCGATATGGTATGGCGATGAAAGAAAGCCAAGGAGCTAGCGCAGGCGGGAAAACGTGCTTATACAAAGGCGCGACGCGGTTATCGTCCACGTTCACAATTCCATTTGTTTTGAGAAATGGGAAGTGGTACTTGTACCTGAGAAACATGAACAATACGCATGCCTAATAAAGAAAAATACCGATAAAAATTGCAATATTGATATATATGAGTGCTGGGATATACGTATGCCGTACCCGGAACAATGGATGATAGCATCTGCATATGTCGACGATCCATCTTGGAAAACTATTTTCCTATCGTCTTCAGCGTAATCGATCTACGCAAAACAAAATGACGTTTTTGACGGGTCACGCCATGATCGGAATAATTTTGGCCAATTGTTTCGACGCTAGAAGTAACACAAGCGGAATGAAATTTAGAATAATACCGGGGAATGTTGAAATAGGCCGCCATGAATCTTAAACTTGCTGGTTTCTTTTGAAGCTACGTGAACTTCTTTCGCGACATGTAGGATGTCCTTCGCAATGTCGACCGCGCTCGGTCAATTTCCAATGATCACTACAATCTGTAGTGCTCAAAAGGCGGATGAATGAGGTAGGCGCATCCATAGAATATTTGACCCGAATTCTACCGAGATAGCTTCGTCATTAAAAGAGAAAAGTACCAAAAAAGTCATAAACCTATTGCATTGATACCAATTCATTCTTAAACCTTTCAATTGGATCATTTTAATTCAAAACATTTTCATATTGAAACCAATTTGGTCCATCTGGCCAATTTAGGCCAAAAATCGCTGATGTGGACGCCGGCCATCCTACATGACACGGCCGGCGAACGGTTGGCGATAACGTGAAATTTTTTTAATGAAACTTTAATATTGTTTCCTTTTTTTTTCTTCCTTCTCCTACCTTGGGCCTATGGCCGATCGCCGGCCACAAGCAAGGGTCACCCTCTCTGGCTCTGGCGAGGGTTGGACCCTCGCGGCCTGGGCAATGGCCGCAACGCCCCCGCCGGCCCTCGCTTGTGGCTGGTCATCACTGACCATGGCCGAGTACCGGCCACGGGCATAGGAGAAGGAAGGAAAAGAAAGGAAAAAAAAGAAAATATTATTAAAATATTCAAAAAATTATGAAAATATTATTAAAAATTATCCACGTCAACACCGACCATGTCACCTAAGACGCCCAAAGTCCACGGCCTAAATTGGCCTAAATTGGCCGGATTGACTGAATTGGTGCCAATATGACAAGGTTTAGGACTAAACTGGTCCAACCGAAAAGTTTTGGACTGAATTGGTGCTAATTCAATAAGTTTATGACTTTTTTGGTACTTTTCCCTCATTAAAAAATGCAAGATAATGTTCATAACCGGAAAAGGGGTTGAAAAGCAGGACGATTCTGATATACCAAAAGAAAAATTGGATTCTTTCCCTTGGCAACAGATTTCTGAAGAAGTTGATAAAGGGTAAAAAACTGCTGGTAAAAAGAATTAGCGATAACTTGTTGGTAAATCCACACTTTCATGAATTACCTAGTTTGCAAATTACTAACTTTTCTTATCTTTTATCAATTTTTTTTCGTTTCTTAACAACTCTTTAAATTTATCAGCTCTAGTGTGAATTTACAAATAAAAAATTGGTAAGTTAGTACAAATATTGCTAATTTGCAAATTATGAAAAAAAAATTTGGGCATTTCATAAAAGTGTTGCTAAGTTGCCAATAAGATATTCGGAAAAAATCTAAGTGCAAAGAGGGTGTGATTGGCAGATAATCGACAATTATTATTTATAACCAACAAGTTTTTGACAGTTACCAACATGTATTGAAATTCACAAGCACAAAAAAAATTCGTATTTCATGGCACGGAACAGAGAACATCATACCTTATCTTTGTATGGTTCGGGAACTCGATAGTTATGGCTATGTATTTGTTCTCCTCCCCAAGTACTTCTACCTATAATACGTTGCAAGGTAAGCATGACTTAGCTCAAAGTAGAACAACTCGAGAACGGATAGTCTTAACATTATGAAGAGTCTTCTTCATAGTATTTGAATTTTTGTCAAGCATATCTAACGAAGAAATGTTTTAAATTTCGAAATATTAACAAAATCAATTTTCAAAATGTGTTAATTGTAGATTTAAAAGTGGGCCTACTTCCCTAAAAAAACCTTTAACATGAGGTCCAGTCTCAATTATGTCTCGAACTTTTTTTATCTCAAAAAAACCCTAAATTTTAGGTATAACTCCAAATCGATCCCGAACTTTTTGGTCTCGAAAAGGAAAAAACCACCAAAAACCTCAAATTTTGCCATCGTGACACATTTACCCGAACTTTTTTGTGACACCAAAACCGAACTTTGCTTTTTGCGACACATTTACCCCAATGTATTTAGTCCATGGGCATTTTCGTCTTTTTGCTTTTTTTTTTTTTTTTTTTTTTTTTCCTTTCCGGCAAGGGAGGGTCTCGCCGGCGTCGGGCGAGGGGCCCTCGCACAGGGCGAGCGGGTCGACCTCGCCGGCGCCGCGAGGCGGCCCTCGCCGAGATCGGGCGGGCGACCGCCGCCGTCGGCAGAGTCGCCCTCGCCGTCTCGAGGGCCACCTACCCGGCGTCGAGCGGCTGCCCTCGCTCGCCCGGCGAGGCGACCCTCGCCGGCGTCGCGAGGTCCGCCTCGCTGGGCGACGAGCGGCCCTCGCCCGTCTGGCGAGTCGACCTCGTCGCATCGCGAGGGCGGCCTCGCCGCGTCCGAGCGAGGTCGCCCTCGTTTGGGCGAGCGGGCGGCCCGCGGCGCCGAGGTCGACCTCTTTTCCTCTTAGAAAAACCTTTAACTTTCGGTCCAATCCCAAATCTGCCATAGATTTTGTTTTGTCTAAATAAAATCACCAACATTCAATATATTCTCAAATCTACCTTCATGGTCTAGTCCAAACTTGACATGGCATTTCCACATCGATGACAAATCCACATCTACGAGGTGACATGGAAAATCATCTCCAAAATAAAAGTGTTATAGGATATAAAAATTATGGACGACTAACAATGATTTTGGATAGTTGGTTAATGGGGGTAGATTTGGGTCTAGAGTAAAAATTGGTGATTTTTCTCTTAAACAAAAAAAAGTTCATGGTAGATATGGGACTAAATTGAAAGTTTTGGGTTTTTCCTAGACAAAGAAAAGTTCTGAGTAGATTTGGACTGGATATAAAATTTCGCTTTTTTTCTAGATAAAAAAAGTTTGAAGCAGAATTGAGACTAGATGTAAAATTGGGAGATTTTTTTTTAAGGGAATTAGGCCTATAAAAGGGATATTTATTCTTGTACCGTTTTTGAATAACTGAAACACGAGAAACGCGAGAAGCAACAGACGCTGTGGGGTCCAAAAACAAAACCCAGCGCCAAAGTAGTAATTTATATAGGACGACAAAATAACGTGGTGCAAGATGTAGACATCTACATTGTCTTTTTTGCAAATGAAAAATTACATAAATAATCCCTAAATTTTGACTTAATATATAATATGGCCCCTGAACTTTTAGTTTATTAATTTGATTCCTGCAATATGGTGCTTAAATTTTTAATTTGTTTAATATTATCCCTCAACTTTTGGTATATGTTATCCCTAAATTATATGAAATTGTTCAATTTTGTCAATATTAAGCTAAAGTTCAGAGGCCACGTTAAATAAATAGACTAAAATTCATGGACCATTTATGTTATTATCTCTTTTGTAAATAATGAAATTCTATAGCAGTGTTCACTGAAAAAATTAAATAAAAAAAAAGGGGAAAAACAAAGACGGTTGTGATGTACCTGGAAATTCAGCTAGCCTCGGCTCGGTGTACTTGCCATTGCAGACCACCACGGCCTCAAACACCTCCGCACCCGCTTCGCCGTCACGCCTCCGCCACTCCACGACCCACTCGTCATTCCTCCCCTCGACGACTCGCCGCTCCACCCAAACCACTTCGTGCCCGAACCGGACCAGCTCGACCACCCCGGAATCCTCCGCGAAACCCCGCAGGAACCGGAGCACCTCCTTGTGACCCGGGAACTGCCTCGGGTCATCCCCAATGCCGTGTTTCACTTCTAACGGGTAGTCCGAGAACCCCATGATCGGCCTCGGGAGGTTCACTCGGAGCGACTTGTACATGCTGCTGTGCACGACCTCGCGAGCCAGATCGAGGCCCAACAGATCGGACTCGACCCGGGGGTCGTAGACCCATGTGCCCCCGACTTCGCCCCCCTTCTCAAAGACCACCACGCGGTGTCCTTCTCGAAGGAGCTCCCGGGCCGTGACCAGACCCGACATGCCGGCTCCGATGACCGCGGCTTTTACGCTCCGTTTTGCCATGGCTTTCTTTTTGGTGCATAAGATTTTCTTTAGAGATCCTTATATATACACACGATAACGATGGAACTATTGGGTGGCGGGCTAAGATTGAGCTTGTTTTTCCCCCCTTTTTTTTCATTTTTCTTTTATAGATATTGCTAGCTCCAAACTGAGTGGAAAAATCAAAGTCATAGTGTGCAAAATCCTACTTTCTATCGCCGAGCACGTGCTTAGACCAAATACTAGTTATTTAATGTTGTAATGATGATACCGGAAAGAAAATGTTGATAGACAAATCAAGATTTGCAACAACAATCGAAATTTTTACTTTAACTCTCACGCTTTTGCGTGAGTAATGCGAAATTGTTATTATGATTATTCATCCCCAAAGGCTTCATCGGTTACTAAAAGTTTGGCCATCGATTTGCTTTCAAGATGATGAATCTAGGCCGTCAAGAGTGATAGCACAACTATAAAAAGGTCGCTCTGACTTTCGCAAGATCATAAGTTTGAACACGTGTCTTGCACAAATCTCGGACCAATTTAGTTTTTGGGCATTTGACGAGAGATTTGCCGACTTCCGTCGCACATATTGACAAGGTACACGGCCGCGTCTCATGTTTTATAGATAGAACAACCTTAGTAAAATATTAGTATAGGGACTGAAGCAACACGGCTTCACTCAAGATAAGAAATCCATGCCACGAGAGGATTAACGCACATTTCCACCGGAAACCAGAGCTAAGCATCTGTTCTCTAGGCGCCCTGCACAGCCACGAGTGGCGCCATCGCCATCGCCGTCGCCGTGGCCTCCATCGTCCCGGAATCGGCGGAAGAAGCCTTGTCCTCCTGATCGGCTCGGCGAGGGCACGGCCACCCTCTCTTGCTCCACTCGCGGTGGCGGTGGTCGTGGCGGTGGTGGAACCCTCGGCTCACGAACACTCCGAACAGGGTTCCCAGTGCGAAGGCGGCGACGGGCCTCATCGTCGTGCTCGTCTCGGAGATCCGATCGGTCTGCCTTGAAATCGCAATAAGGGAAGCTGGAGAAGAAATTGTTGTGTGTGTGGGTGTGGCGGGGGGGGGGGGGGAGGGATGAGTTTGAAAGCTTGGATTGAGACAATTAGATCAAGGGTGGCCTTATTTATGAGTTGGACGAAAAGTCGTAGACAAATGTGGGGAGTTTCGTGTTGCCCAAGCGGCCGTGGGGGACCAGGTCAATGCATATTTGCCCCTTCTCCAAGTTCAATATTTTACTATACTTTGATTATTATTTATTCTTATTCATTGAGGTAGACATTAGATGACGACGTTTCGTCATTGGTTATCTGATACTATGTTTTCTTTATTCTTTTTTCCCGATGAATACTGTCTTTAAAGTTGGAAAAAAGCCTCTAAAACCCTAAACTATACCCGACACATTTATCTTAAATTTTTTTTTATGACATAGAAAATCACAAATTATGTCAATTATGACACATTTACCCTAAACTTTTTCTTTGTGATATAAAAATCCCTTAAACTTTTACTTATGTGACACATTTACCCTCCTCCATCAATGTTCCGTTAAATAATTTTTCAGTCAAAGCAATGTCGTTTTTATTTCACTTAACCTATGTGGGCTCCATGTCAACACTATTTGCATTTCGGTGTTCATGTAGGCAGATTTTTAACGGTTCTTATTAAGAGAACCTTGATAGAGGATACATGTATCACACAAGTACGAGTTTTGGATTTTTTGTATCATGGAAAAAAGTTTAGCGTAAATGTGTCACGTCGGATATAGTTTAGGATTTTTGGTAGCTTTTCTCTTTGAAGTTTATATTATGTGACATATCGATGTGCGCATAACATCCTCACTCATGAAACTAATTACACGATTAACAATAGTGCATATGATTATTGTAAGTAAGGTACATTTAGCTCACTACAAAAAAACATGTTTTTTGCGACGGAAATTTGCGACGGATTATTTTCGTCGCAAATTTGCGACGAAAAAATTCCGTCGCAAATTTGCCACGGAAAGTTGGTCGTCGCCAGTTCCGTCGCTAATTTGCGACGACTAATTTTCCGTCGCAAATTTGCGACGAATTTTGCAATGGATTTATTTTCCGTCGCAACGAATATTTTATCCGTCGCAAATTGCGACGAAATTGGATTCGTCGCAAATTTGTACCGGAAAATTAATTTTGTGATATGCACCCCACCCCACCCATCAATTTCTCTCTCTCTCTTTCAGTAGTGATTCGTCAGGTCGCCCGCTTTTCTCTCACCTTCTCCTTCTATCATTTCTCTCAATAATCCGTGCGCACAGAAATCAATCTCGGTGAAGCTTTTCCACAGGTAAGTATCGTAGCTAATTAAGTCCGTTTAAACGTGCAACTAATATGGTCCTGTCCTTCTGATTCATCGTCAGATGCGAATTTTTTTTTTATTGACATTATTTTTTGTTTTTGTTGTAAATTGGTGGCCGGTCGCCGACCGGCGACCGGCCACCAATTTGCGACGGACGGTCTTTCTCCGTCGCAAAATACCGTTCGTCGCAAATTTGCGACGGACGAAAGGGCGAGGTGCCGGTCGACCTCGCCGCGGTGGCGGCCTCCCCCAGATCTGGGCAAGGACAACCTGCGTCGCCCGATGGCCGGCGAGGCCGCGCGATATGGCCATGGCCGCCGGTCGACCTCGCCGTCGCCCGTCGGGCGACCTGCGAGGTCGACCCACGACCATGGCGACCCCTCTCGGCCTCGCCCGGATCGAGCCGCCCGAGCCGGCCGTGCCCGTCAAGCCGATTTGCCATGGCGAGGCCAAGCGGCTCACAGGCATCAGCCCCGGATCGCCACGGACCGCGACCGGGAGAAAATTATAAGAAATTTTTTTTAAAAAAAATTCGGAAAAAATAAAAAAATTTAAAAAAATAAATGTTAAGTGATTTTGCTTTTATTTAGGTACGTGTCCAATTGAAGGTCTCGCAATCCAAGTGAACTTTGCAATTCTCTTCAAATTGACCACTTTCTGCTACCAAGATTTCAGTCAAATATCTAGGTAAGTGTTCTTTTACTTGGTAATTTTTTCATTTTTTAAAATTTCGTAGTAATTGTTGCATGAAAAACAAAATTTTAATTTTCATAAATTTTTTTTTAATTAACAACAGTAGATATGATATTTTAAATATTTTACGATATTTTTTTATTTTAATACAGACACAATCCAAAGAAATAGGGCTTGGATGTATAATAAGAACTTACCTGGACGTCAAGGATTGACCGATGAGTTTCGGACTGGATTGAAACTATTTTTAGACTTTGCTAGTAGTAAATATGAGTTCATGGATGGAAATAAGTTAATGTGTCCATGTAGAAAGTGCAGTAATGGTAAATTTCATGTGTGTGATACAGTTAGAGAACATCTTTGTAGATTTGGGTTTACTCCGAATTATTATAATTGGACTTGCCATGGTGAACCATTTATATCTGATGAAGGATATCGAAGAAGTGACCAATTTTTAGGAGGGGAAGAAAGTAGCTATTATGACCAATTGAACCCATACGAGAGGATGGTGATTCATGCAGCTGGTCAGAATTTTGTTTCAGATTCAAACCATGCAAGTACTAGTCATGCATCACAATTGGAAGACATGGGAGTAACGGGTTTTGATGAGAATGTGTGTAATGGAGCTTTTTCATATAATCAATTCTGGGAAGTGTTGAAAGCAGAAGATGAACCTTTATGGCCATGTTATGATAACCACACTAAGTTATCTGTGACAACGAGACTGTAAATATCAAGGCAGAGCATAATGTGTCGCAAGATTGCTTCAACTCTTTTGTTGAAGTAATGCGGGAAACAATGCCTCGTGATAACAGCATGCCAAGTGATTGTTACGATATGAAAAAGCTAGTGGATAACTTAGGTCTTCCGGTTGTAAGGATTGATGTATGTAGTAGGGGTTGTATGTTATATTGGAGAGATGATGAAAATGCGAGAATCTTGCAAATTCTCGTAGCCAACCTAGGTACAAGATTAACGGGAGCGGGTCGTAATCGAAGCGTAGACCATGCAAGCAAATGTTTTATCCGCCCTTAATCCCAGTTGCAAAGGCTTTATGCATCTCAAGCCACAGTGAACACATGACTTGGCACGCAAATCATGAAGCGAAAGAGGATCTAATGTGTCATCCTTCAGATGCAGAGGCATGGAAGCATTTTGATAGAACGTACCCTGAGTTTGCGATAGAGCCTGAGTTTGCGATAGAGCCTCGAAACATCATGTTAGGTCTCTGCTCTGATGGATTTGCCCCATTTGGGAAATCAGGAAAAAGTTATTCATGTTGGCCAGTTATCTTAATGCCGTACAATCTTCCACCTGGTATGTGCATGAAGACACCTTATATGTTTTTGACATTGATCGTGCCTAGCCCGCAAAATCCGAAAAAGTTAATAGATGTTTATATGCAACCATTGATTGAAGAGTTACAACGGCTATGGGAGGAAGGTGTCCTTACATATGATGTTTCTACCGATCAAACATTTGTAATGAAGGCTGCTCTTCTTTGGACGATAAATGACTTTCCAGCTTACGGAATGTTATCTGGATGGAGTATAGCTGGGATCTTAGGATGTCCGATATGTTTGGAGAGATCAAAGTCATTTAGATTAAAACATGGAAAGAAGCCCAGCTATTTTGACTGTCACAGACAATTTTTACCGATAAATCATACCTTCAGAAGGAATAAAAAAGAGTTCATGAAGAATAGGACTGAAAGAACACGTCCACTATTGAGGTTGACCGGCGATCAAATTTGGGAGCGGGTGCAGGACTTTCCAACTGTTGTTCAGAACCCTCACGGTACGACTTTTGCATACGGAAGTAGACATAAGTGGACAAAATGCAGTATATTTTGGGATCTACCGTATTGGAAGGCCCATCTTATTCATCATAATCTTGACGTCATGCACATAGAAAAGAATGTTTTCGACAATGTCATAAATACTGTGATGGATGTCACCGGAAAAACAAAAGATAACTTGAACGCAAGAAAAGATATGAGAGATATTTGTGATCGACCAACACTAGATGTGGATGCAAGCAGCAGAGGACCAAAATCAAAAGCAGTTTATACAT